TCTCTTTCTCTCTCTCTCTCTTTGTTCTCTCTTTCTCCTTCTCACTCACTCTCTCTCTCTCTCTCTCTCTCTCTCTCTCTCTCTCTCTCTCTTTCTCCCTCGTTAAATGAGACTGTTTATGTGTTTTTAGTCATTGTAGTAATGAAGTTATTTTTTTATTGTCTTTGTTGTTGTTGTTGTTGTTGTTGTTGTTGATTGTGGTGGTGTTGGCGGTATTGATGGTGGCTGTGCTGTTTTTTGTGTTGGTGGTATCAACGGTGGTTAAGTTAGATTGTTTGATTTTGTGTTGAATGTTGACATTTTTTTGTTAAAAAGGTCATTGTAATTGTGATCTATTGTTCTTTTTAAATTTAAAGATGTTTAATTGTTGGCGGTTGATGGGTTTTTTAACGTTCTAGACTGTTGCTTTTCTAAGGTATTTGAATATTATTTTTCTAGCATTGACCATGTTTTTGGCTAATACATGTATTATGTTGTTGAGTGTTGATGTGTTTAATAAATCTTTGTCTGCTAAATAGATATCTAAAATATTGTCTTCTTGTGCTGTTATTTTTTTTTCTATATATACAACTATACTTTCTTGTCCAATAGATAGATATGTGTTTGAACTTGAGGCACGCAATTATGTCATCAAATCTCTGCAATTTTCAACTTTTATAAGGATTGCTTGTGAAATATCTCGAACTTGTTGTATGTGTTTGTCGATTTGGTCGCGTTTCCTCTTTAGTGTTTGAATGTCGGACCTGTAAAAAAACGAATACAAATGATTAATATTAGTATCAAATTGTAAAGTTTATAAATATATTTGTTTTATTGTTTGTAAAATTACGAAAACGTTTCTTTTTTAAACTACGTGTTTTTTACATTTTTTTGTTTTAGTTATTTTGTAATCTAATTATTTTAGTTTGTTAACAAATATGTTTTTTATTTTAAAAAGGCGAATACTTACAAAGTATTATTATTGTTTTTTTGGTTGTCTTTGTCTGTAGATCTTTCTTCAATTTTCATAATGTTGTAAAAACAAAATAGAAAAAAAAATAATTAAGAAATATATTAGTTGTCAAGGTAACCGACATTCGGGACAGGCCGAACGCCCGAACGTACGGGACACCTTTGGGATGCGAACGGTCGTTCGGGCCGAACGCGAAAAAAAAAAAAAAAAAAAAAAAAAAGTAAAAAAGATATGTTACAAAGAAAAACAAATTAAAAACGATTTGCCTGAGCATTACATCCAAATTCCTTACCAAATTTGAAATAAAAATAAAATACGAAAATAAAATACTAATAAGAAAAATTAAAAAAATAAAAATAAAAATTAAATTTAGGGAGTGCGCCAGCATCTTTTCGACACCGCCATCTTTGGCGATTTTTTTTTTTTTTTTGACATAGCTAAATGCCCTGAAAATTTACAGATTTGTACTTCACATAATGTAAAAGCCACTAAAAAAGTTTCAGAAAATAATAAAATTGTTTAGACATCGAACTAAAGTGAAAACAAAAAGTATAGAGTGAAAATAAACCAGGGCAAACACGTTTTGACACCGTCATCTTTGGATATTTTTAATTTTTATTTGGTTGCACCAAATGACATGAAAATTTATAGGCATGTACCTTACGTCATAGAAAACGCACAAAAAACAATCCAGAGAAAAAATATTACTTTTAGGCCCCGAAATAATTTTTTGTGGGAGTCGAACGCTGTCGGGTTCGGACCCTGTACGGGACCCCGAACGCCCGTACGTACGGAGGTCTGCCCGGGGACCTCCGTACGTACGGGCTAGTGACCTTGTTAGTTGAATTAATATTTTTGAAGAAGAAATAAATATAATATAATTTTTTCCCGTTCGATATTGTTTTTTTTAATTAACTATTTGTTGGAAGTATTTGTTAAGTGTATTGTATTTAAACAACGTAATAAATTATGTTAACTTTATGTTGTGATGTATTGCATTTAAATTTGCTCTTTGTTTTTGTTTTTTCTTTCTTTTTCTTTCTCTTTCTGTATGTTGTTGTTGTTATGTTGTTGTTGTTGTTTTT